GCTTCTAGTATATATATATATATATATATATATATATATATATATTAAGATACTTAATTGAAAGTGACAAATTCCATTTGGTTTGATTCAAGGAATTTTATTTATTAATTTATAAATTTACGGAGAAAATAAGAATGACCTCTTCGATTTAGGGTTCGTATCGAATCGGATCGGATCGAATTAATACTTAAAATAAAGTGAAGGATTGAAGGTGAAACATGAGAATATTGATTAGTGGGTTATGAAGAAATTATGGATTAGTAGACCCTCCTCTTAGGTCAAGGAATCCTCTTTTCATTTATTTATATGGATATTACACACACACACACACATACATATACATACATATATATATATATATATATATATATTCAAAATAAAAGAATATTTTCATTGGAGAAAAGATAGTTTAACATGGACATTCCTTTGAAGACCACAACCAATCATTGCTTGCACTTTTTTCAATTCAAAAGACAAATATGGGGTTTATAAAATCGAGATTTTCGGTATTTTAATTCGATGTTTAAAACTTTCTTAAAAATAGAGAAAGTAGAGAGCGTATAATATCTCCAAATTTAGAGGAGATATCGATAAAACTGACAAAATGTTATAAATCTATGAGAATTAATTACAACAATTTAATGAATTCTATTTCTAGATTCACATATGAATAAGTTATCGTGTGTTGTTTTATATAAGAATTAAAAAATACATGTAAAAGTGTTCCATATATGAAACAACTTGAATTCTAATTTAAAATGAAACTCAATTAATGGCTGTTACTGATTTCACATATTTGTAACGTTTTTGTGGTTTCTCTCCCCCCCCCTCTCTCTATACACACACACACACACATATATATATATATATATATATATATAGGTTTTTGGTGAAATCAAGTTTGTTGATGAGAACAATGAGAACACTGGATGTTCATCTATCATCATTACCTAATTGTATCATCATGATTGAAAATTTTACAAATTCATACATATGAATGGTTGAAGGTATGTATAAAGAAGTGAAGGTATGTCATTGTTTTCAACGAATTGAATTTTCAGTGAGAACTCACGTAAGAACCTCAAAAATATAAGAAACCCATGGGAAACAATTCCAACGTATTGTTTCAGAGTAGATTTGTTTGATTATATATATATATATTTATATATATATATATATGTGTGTGTGTGTTTCATAATATGAAACAACATTGTATGTTTCACATGTATAATACGAAATAATACCAGGGATGGTAATTTTGTATCAAATTATATACACCAACCAATATGTGTACTAACCGTACAAATTAAAATTGGTACCAATTAAATTGGTTGGTAGCACCGTACCAAGTATGCAAACTTGGTTGATATATGATATTTGGATGTTGCATACCACTGTAGTACCATAGTACCAACTTATTTAATTATTTATTAGTTTTTGAATTTTTTTTATGTATTGAATATTTAACTTTTGTAACTTTAACTATTTTGTTTGAACATGTAAATGTTTGCAAGTTTATTCCTTCTGCAATTAAAAGCCCTTAAACATCAAATGTATTACCTGAAAAATCAAAGTCACTCAAAATTTGTACATTATGGCAAGTTTTCATATATGTAACTTGAAGTTGATATAAAACCGATGCCAACATGCGTCGATTGTAAAAAAATAAGTTGTTACCAAGTACTATTTGTTGATATACAGTATAAGATTTTGCATACCAATTATAATTGGATGGTATACGGTATTAAAGAAAAAAAAAACCTTGGTACCATACCAAGTAAATCCCTAAGCACTACATATTTTAGGGTTTCTTTATGGTTCTTAACATTTTGAGGTTTTCATTTGATCGAAGATTCTCTGTCTCCAATAATTTTGAGTTCTTTTTCAAACCTTCCACTTTCTGTTAGATTTTAGAAACAGAATATCAAATACTTGGATAATTCAAGGATCGTGTATAAAACATTTTTCAAAACCTGTGATTTCGACCCTATAGTCTGGGGTACTACGAAATCAGATTTGGGATCATCCAAGAATAACGATCTAGATTTCAGGTAAAATCCAAAATCACAAACATAGAATTGCTTGCTTGTTTATGTACCTTAAGATACAAAAATCCGGTAGAGTGACGGTATGCACCAAGATTCTACTCGCTCTGCAATTATCGAACCGAAATCTTATATATAGCCACTGACTGTTAAGTCGGCGGTATTTGTATCTGTTCCCAACAGACGCGACTGTTCGAGAGTTTGGATCCATTTCTTACATACGGATGAATTTTCGAGCCTGCCGCCAGGGGCTCTCCCCCTAGGAACCCCACCGGGGGGGCTCCCCGGACCCTCGCGTATCCGAGATCGACTTAACTTATCCGAACGTGCTCCGCACCTCCGGACTCAAATTATAACTCTAATTTCGGCTTGTATCACATTAATATTGATCATACTAAATGACTTAATGACACTAAAATGACCAACACTTTCTTTATGTATATATATATACACACACACATACCTACGTGCGTTTTTTGTAAATAGCAAAATAAACAAACCACATTTACACATAATTTATGGGAAATGCTATTTGCATCCCTTTTATGTTAAAATCGAGTTAAATTATGCATTACAGATATAAAAATTCAATCGTAATGTTGATGATGTGTGAGAAGAAAATCTATAGGTATATACAGATGCATTTAATAATGTAAAAGAGTGCAATTAAACCGTCTGTATAATTTATTTATGTGGATCAAAATAAATAATATTAAAACTATGTAATATATTAATAAAAATGGGATTTATGAATTAATATAGGTGGTGAAGGATGAAGAGTCCCATTACATGTACGTACATATATATATATATATATATATATATATAGAGCTAGTTATAGCTATAGCCTAGCATATGTAGCTTGGTTTAGAACCCCAAGTGTACAGACTCCATTAAGAAGGATCTTTCTACTTATGTTTCCATATATAATTGGCTGAGATAATCTACTTCTTCACATATTTTATAAAAAGTTAACTTAACTAGCAATTTTGGTTCACTTAGCGGCTGAGGCAGTAAAGCATCGAACCTATTATGGCTGAGATTGAACCTGTTATGTATTTGGGTAAAGTCTTCCGCCCTTTTGCCAAGTGAGCTATACGTCGTGGCCTACTTCTTTACATATTACCACCTCCACCGCCAGCGCCGCCACCGCCACGAGAATTATAAGGGTAATGACAATTCCATGGACGATTAACATTATGATAAAGATAAGAAGGTGGTGGTGGCTGATGAAATCCACCACCTCCATCACTACTAAACCTTCTGCCATGGAAATTATGATCCATGGCTCTTTGCCGTGAAATCGCAGGCTGAATCGAACTCAAATGAGGCGACATTGCAGCAGGTATCGTCGTATTACGTGAACAGTGGATCAAATCGGCTTTTGCAGCGTCGAGGTCCTTCTGCAGGCGATCGACTTGTATTTGGAGGAAAGAAATGACTCCCACACAGCCATAAACAGGATCTCGAACCCGGGCTTCAGCTTCGTATGCAAGAGAGTTTACTGCATCTTCTCTCTGGTGCGGTAAAACATCGTTCAGAAGCTTTGTGACGTTGCTGGCACCGAAGACTTTGTGAACGTTTATGAATTTCTGTGGATTTTCTGGTGGGAAATAGGGCGCAAAAATGCATCCAGACAAGCATTTTCTTCTCAAGAACTTGCAGGCAGCACAAGGAGAGTTGTAAGAGCTTGATGAGGCCATCATATATGATCAAACAGCTCTTATTAACTATAGCTTGCTGCACAGTAATTAATACTAATTAATTAAAGAACCCAATACTAAATCAATTCATTCTTTGGATACTTTAATTTTAATTGTAGTTTCCTTCTAAATCTCTTATAAGAACACACACACACACACACACACACACACACACACATATATATATATATATATATATCGAGAACACGAGATGGTGTCTTATATTAACTTGGGTTTTTAGGTTCTTTTAAAGAAATCACGACCATTTTGAAAACTGATGATAGATCACTAAGTTTTGTATCCAAAATCTTAGTAAACACAAAATGCACCTGGATGATGAATCACTGAACTCATATATGCATTATATATATATATATATATATGTGTGTGTGTGTGTGTGTGTGTACGTTTCTGAATTATGGCAGCTGTTCAATTTATATGAACTTCATATAATTGATTTGATGGTTTCTTGTAGGAGATAGAACTGATTATGAACTTTTGACAGAAGATCTAATCTTAAACTTCAAGCTCTCCATTTGGGTATACTTGCCTAGGTCATTATTAGGAGGATCTACAACCCTAGATACTTGCTATATATATATATATATATATATATATATATATATATATATATATATATAACATGGGATCTGTCCTAGCTTAATTTCCAGATTAATGTGATGATGAACATGTATATATGTATCAACCCTTAGAAAGTTAGTGTTAATTTTGATGAGATCTGTGCTATACTGCTAGTGTGTGTGTGTGTGTATATATATATATATATATATATATATATCTTAATTTGCTTTAGTTGATTCTGTATATATGCATCTATGATCAGTTGACATAAGATGAAATCACAAATCAAATAATGGAAAAGACAAGTACCTTTTTTTTTTTTTTTTTGCTTGTGTTTGAACTCTTTGATTTCCCCTATTTGGATGCCTATATGCCTACCATCAATTCAAGATTTCTTTGACACACAGAAGACCTCATTATAAAGAAGTACAGAAACCCTAATTTGAGGATGTTTATATATATATATATATATATATATATATAGAGAGAGAGAGAGAGAGAGAGAGAGAGAAAGGGTAACCTGCAAATGAATAAGTAGCTTGAAAAAGGTAATGGAGAGGAATTAACAAAGAGCATTTAGTGGATGTGAGAAGGATATTGATGAAGCCAAAAGACAAAATGTAATGAATCTAAAAGAGGAGGTACAGCACAAAAAAATGACTATACACTCTCTCCATAAGTCTCTCTCTACATCTCTCACTCTCCTTCTATATATATATATTGTTCCAAATACAAGCCGTTGCATTTGTATAACCAATACAACTCAATAAATTGAGATATTTTTTGAAATAATGAGAGTTCATTTATTATGATTTGGATATTTATGAAAGATGAATATGGTTCATTAATTATTATCAATACTTTATATTAGGAAACAATCAAAACTTATATGAAATCACATATTAATAAAATGAAATGGACGGTTGAGATTGGATTGTATTGGTTGCACAATTGTCAAGGATTGTATAATAACCAACGTGTGTGTATATATATATATATATATATTGTGTTGAGTTGTGGTCAGAACTATCTTTTTCTGTGAGAACCATGAGAATCCTTCTGCAACTGTCGGTTAGATACTTTTGATCCAACGGTGATGATCGTGCGTGAAATGCTTTTTTTTTTTTCCTTCCGTGAATGAAGGGTATTTTAGTTTTTCATATTTGAAACCTTAATATACCTTAACATGTTCTAACACCTTAACATGAACATGCATGTTAAGGTATGTAAGGTATCCACACTCTAGTTAAAATATGCTAAATTTCATTTTTTTTCATGGTAAGGCGTGTTAAAGTTTGTTACGGTTTTTTTTTCATATTAAGATATTTTTGTTTCGTGATGTGAAAATAAATCCATGATTACTACATTATATATATATATATATATATATGTTCATGTGAGACCAACCTGTTTTTATGAGACATCTGAGACCATTTTTTTTATATTTGAAACTTCACAATAAAACGTTGTAAAGGTAAAAAGAAGCCGAACCTTCACAGCGTATGAAGTTTCAAGTGTAAAAAAGTGGTCTCATAAAAACAGGTTGGTCTCACGTGAGCTTAAATATATGTATATATACATATACATACATACTCAAAATCATATCATATCTATGTTATTTAATTGTTATTAATTTTATGTTCAACAAGTTGACCAAAACATCTGAGGTTCAAATTCATGATATTCTTCAATTAAAGTAAATTAAATTTTAAATAATTGGATTATTGTAATTAATTTTGTTTATGCCCCTTTCCCCCCAACATGTATATGAATATTATTTTATTACCATTTCATTTAATAAATAATGTGACCAATCAAATTATCAAGGGTTAAAGAAGTTCAAGGATCATATCTCTATTGATATTATTCTCCTTATTTTTTATATGTATTAGGTCTTCCTTCACCAGTTTACGTCACATGAATATGTGAGTCATTCATACACACACACACACACACATATATATATATATATATATACACACACACACAAAAGGTTGGGTTCACGTGAGACCAATGGTTTTTCGTGAGACCCGTAAGACCAATTTATGTTCATTGATCAACTTTATAAGCTAATGATCTAATGTTATAAATGTCTTATAAAATAACTAATACGACACAATAAGATACTTTATTTTAAAACATCCTGAAAACATGTTGAAACACCCAAAATCGTTATATAAATACGTTGTAATACTTTCAGATATGACGCTTTATAGTTTGCTCATATAAACCTAAGTCTTATAAATTATCCTATTAGGAATTGATGAAAATTAATATGTCAATATTAAGCTCTATTTATAAGGAATTGAGAATCATGAACTTTGATATGCTTATTATTTTTTTAATTTTCTTGTTAGAGTCATTTTTTTCCAGATAAGTTTTAATAAATAAAAATATAACTTGATCAATAGTAATATGACACGTGACATGTAAAATAGGATGAAAAATTACAATCTAGGTTCGTATGGTTATGATGAGATTGCTAATTTCTTTATATATATATTTAAATTTTTTTGTCTTACCCACGATCAGATTAATTGAAACCGCAAGTAAAGATTGTTTTAGAGCAAAAGGCATATTACAGTGATTATTTATGTGGTAAAAAATAATAAATTAATAATCCCAAAAATAGTGAAAAGGAAGGTACGAGAATTTGGCTTCTACTTGACCGATCCTATGTTTTAACTGTCTCCTTGCTGCCACATTCTGTCTTTTCATGCTGTCAAAGTGTCATTCGTTAAAAAAAGTAACATTGTTTTTTGAGAAATTAACTATTTACTTGAAGGGAGTGCTAATGACACCCCTTTAATAGCGGTGTTGATTGTTTGAAAGTTGTGTATTATTATTGAAGAGTGCTAATGACACCTTTTTTGATGTCAGAATCAGGTCATTTAAGTATTGAGAATGTAAAAAGCATGTATTGATTTTGATGTGTTTGAGGAAGAAATTCATGAATAAGGGTGCATTAAATAATGCATAGGGGTGCATTTAGCCCACCCCTTATTAAAAGGGTTTTTCTATCAATCCCTATTAAAATTTATAAACATCAAATCGATTTAATAATATATT